TCGCGCCAGGTGACGTCCTAAAACCAGAAACAGAAATAGTATCCGCACAAAAGTGATCCGCGTAAGAAAATAGTCCGTCATAAACAAATGAATAAATATCTATTGAAAACCCATGTGATGACAACAACACCATTTTAACCGTAAATGTACATATGGAGAAGCAAATGAGGATTAACTTGTTTAAAACACAGTTTTCTACATATTTTTCAGATTCATAGTAATCTTCCGCGCAAAACTATTTTTGTTAACGTTCGTCAAAGATAGAGGATCGATCATAAAGCTTATAGCTAAAAGTGATTTGGAAAAGACGTTGTTTCGTTTACTTTTTTATGAATGAATAAACATATAAGGCAGTAGCATATAGATGAAAAAAAGGCTATCAAATAATGTTTTCAGGGTTTGTCGCTCGAACTTTCTCATCACGAGCACGTGGATAAATCGAGCGGCAACCGCTCATGACAAACCATGAAAACACAATGAGATAATATATGATTATCAAACGTACAATAACTGATATGTCATCATCCACATTTTACAAATATGTATGGTGATATTTTTGTTGACAACAACATTAAATGAAACCTATAGGAAGTGAAAATCTGAAAGAAATAACAAAAAATATATTGTCTTCTTATAGGCTTAAATCGAAGGAAGACGATATGATAACGTTGTATGAAACGAACCAATATGCATATATTGTAATAGCGATATTAACGATAACACATTTTTATACTTCAAAGTGAGAATTATATAGATAAAAAAGAAAACATTACATTTGTGATTATTATTATTATAAACCTAGCCTGTTCAAATTTATTTATCTTATGAAAATATACGTCACTCGGTTTGCTAAACGATTTCATAAATAGCAGAAGAAGCATGCAAAATTTTGCAAAAAAATATCGTCATTAGGTCATGTGTGACACTATGTAAATCATCAAATTCTTTACGGCACGTTAGAAAATAAAAACTTATTCCTTTTTGTTTTATATCTTTTACACGTTTCTCACCCCGAGTGTGGTATTAACGGAAAGTTAATAACTGTTGCCATGTAAGAAAAAATTGAAATGCCATGCTGATAAGAAAAAAGAGCTAAAGTTAGCGGCACGATACCTTTAATTAGTGTGTGTCAATACTATTCCAACACGGTAAACGTATGTACTGTACTGAGAGATTAAAAGGTCTGAAGTAACAGAAGAATCGAATCAATTCAATGAATGTTAAGGTCGGTGGGTGTTCGTTTTGATCAGTAGATAACGTTTTGTGATAACGAGTCTACAGGGTATTGGTAGTACAGACCTGTCCTCGGTAAATGAATATGATGCGTGTAGCATGAACATCAACCAACCGTACAGTCTGTATATCTACAGTACCAATATATTATAAATTGGATATATTGATCGAACTTTCTCCTAATTTTTTAATCGAAGCCCCAATATCGTTGGCATGGTATGCTATTGACAGCTACAGTGTGCCATAGTCGCCATGTCTCGATGAGGGGCGTGGCAATTTGAATTGTTCTCGGCCGCCATTCGTCTTATAATTTGGATTTGTCTGAAATCCATTTCATAATAAGAAAGTAAGCTTCCTCATAACCATTTTTCTAAAAAACGTATGTATTTGGTTTGCGAAAGAATCGTTATGATATCAAATATAATTGGGGTTTGTTATTTTGGAAATAATTAAATTAATATAAACATCTAAGACTGTGGTGTTCATTATAACCACCGCTTCATTTTCAAATAAAAAGGAAAAGAAAGCACAAGTTGCCATGGCACCACTTTCTAGTTCACTGTTATAAGCAGCTGCCGTATACATAAAAACGATATTTAATCAATATCATTATATTTGTACAAGTGTGGGAGGGCTAGTTCTAATCTATTAAATCGGTAACCGTGTACAAAGTAAACAATATTAAGTAGGCGTAAATTATCTAGTGGAACTCTCTTGGGAGGGAGGCAGGGAGTGTGCTTCCGATACACAAGTTTGACGTCATGGTCGGAATAGCTTTGCCTTCCGCTACCGGCTGGCTGATGAAAGTGTTCAGCTACCAGGTGGCTGATGATGAAAGTGTTCAGCTACCGGGTGGTTGATGATGAAAGTGTTCAGCTACCGGATGGCTGATGATGAAAGTGTTCAGCTACCGGATGGCTGATGATGAAAGTGTTAAGCAACCGGGTGACTGATGATGAAAGTGTTTCGCTACCAGTTGGCTGATGATGAAAGTGATCAGCTACCGGGTGGCTGATGATAAAAGTGTTTGCTTTGTTTCTCCTTTTTGTCGCGACAATGTCAAAAAATGTCATTAAAATAGTATACGGCGCTTTGTCGTTGCGGCATTCTGAGGTTGCCATAAAAGTACGTTTAGGTCGTTGAATGGTCTTCTTACAAAAGACTATTTTTTGTCATAGAGGATTGAGAAAAAGCGCTGCAATATTTTGTTTAACAGTGCGTTGACAATGAATTGTATGCTCAAGTCTGATAAACCAGTTAGCGAAGTAAACCCTCATTTTTGTGCGTTGAAACGATTAAAGCCCTCCTTCCTTTTTCATTTGAAATACATGTAATAAGCATATCTGTTTTAGATAGAAAGTTTGATATTTTATGCATTTTGAAGCCATGAAAAAAGCGTTATTTCTGGCTTAATATCCTGATATAGATTAGACAGTATAGAATAATAAAATCAAAATCAGAAGTTGTATATAATTGATCTATGCAGCAAGGCCAATACACAACGTATACAAATTTGGAACAAAATAGGTGGGAGCACTATCTTATTCCTTCCTCTAAACCTATTTGGAAACATTTTATTTCATTTCGCTTTAGCATTAAAAAACTGTTAGCAGATATATGGTCTGAAAATGATAAAATTATAAAACAAACAATGACTTTGGCAATACCGGATGGTAACTTAGCAGATATAATTGTAGTTTAAACATCCTAATCAGGTATTTTCCTTAAAGTGTACAGCATTACAAACAGTCTATCACACTCACAACAACAACGTTTAACCGTTAACATTATAACTAGATATAATTAAGAACAATACGTTGATAGTTAAGGGCACTAACTCATGATCACACAGGGTTACCATGACGTCAGGTAGCATTAGGTATATTAATGTGACTACGATTTTGTTGTCAAGGTTACATGTTGTCAAGTCTGTTTCCCTGGGTGATCTAACGCTTGTTAATCGACACTAAAGTACTGGTATCAGTCATGTAGGCACTGTTTTACTTACAGTGAACATTGTTCCGTTAAGGGTTTTTCATATTTTCATGTACATTTAATTAACATAAGAGCCATATGTTAGCTATCTGGAAGTAAAGGTTTACGCTACACTATTTACTTGTAACGTTTAAGATACTTGTCCAAAAGTATATCTAGGGAAATAATTACCACACAGCAAATGACAAATAAGCGAGGACGTCCAACCACACTTCACAAATATGTTATGTTATCCATGGATTAAAAACAAACTTAATGACCTAATGTATTCATAATACTGGAGTTTAAATCGAGAGGAGTATAATTATAATACAACTGTTCTAGCACGTGGTACCCGTGGGTCCAATGGTATAATAAGACATTAATATGGATGTGATGTTTTATATAACCCTCACTTAAAGTTAAAAACACAGGAGCTTTAGACATTTCAAACGAGGTTCACTAAACAGCGTATTTGTTGTCCATGCCACAGTCAAAGCATAGATGTCACGTGGATTAGAAAACAAACATATAAGATAACATGTTGCCCTCTGTGGGTACAGGAGGTAAGAAACCTCCGTGGGGACTCTTCATGACTCTTTTTTCCTGTTTCCAGACCAAATGACAGCATCTTTTAGTTAGGATGTCGACAATTTGGTGTATCATCCGAGCCCAAACACGATGTAAAGCCGAGTTTCCGACTTGCTAGATAATTATCGTTGATTTATTATCTCGACAAGTAATAAGTAACTCGGAATATTCTTAAGATTACGTCGACATCTTTTATTTTGATGATGACATCTTCTCAATATTCACTTTATGACGTCACTCACCTTATACCATCACAATACCCTATGCCAAATGTTGAACTTTCAAAATGTTCGATCTTTTAATTATAAAGTCCATATACTTTTACATATTTTATTTAGCAATTACGGACTTTTGCTTCGGTGAAATTGTGATTATATAGACCTGAAAGGGATACATTTACCGACACGAAGTCGAAGTCATTATAACTTTTGAGGTTCAAATAACCACATGTTCACCACAATAAAAGTTCAAAATCGATAAATATAACACGGAGAAAAGTTCGGGAAGGGGTCTATGTCACTCGAAATCGTGGCAAATTATAATGATATGGCAAAATTGTTACGATGTGGCAGGTTTTAACAATGTTACGAGTTGTATAGAAACAGAGAAGAATAATTTGCCACTTTCGTCAGACGCTGTGAATTATTTTTGTATCGCATAATAAATGAGGTAAACACTTACAACACGCAGTACATTGATATCACAGCCACCAATACAATACAATTATATCATAGCCACCAATACAATATAATTATATCATCTTTACAAGACGAGTTGGGTTTTGCAGTTCCATAGTTCTGTAGTCAATACAGTGTTTGTATATACGATATAGCTCACGCCGTTAACACCCAACAGTAAAAACCACGAACAGAACAGACTGATTTCCAAACAGCGGGTTCCCTACTCTGTGATGGAATAGATAGCTGTGTGCCCACTGAGGTGGAGCACGCCGTTTTCTACTACAGAACCGTATCCCACGACCACAATCAAACAGACGGTTACACATCACTCGAGTTCTATACCCAGTTATTTCATTTCATCCTTTACCATTATTCCAGCATTAAACATACGGCATTGTTTACATAGAACAATAGATTTACGATTGACAGTATTTATGTATTACGGTTCTGTAGATAAATATATAAAACATCCTACGTTCGTTAACAGGATACTTAATCAGATGTAATTAACTCATTACCCACCTTTTATTCTGCCTCCTTGTTTCGTACGTTGTTTTGATAACCCTTAAATTCCCAGAGCTGATACTAGCAGTGCTCTCTCGATAGTGCCTTCGCTAAAGATGGATTGAAATAGGTAGAACTGCAATATCGATTCATATCCACTCCTACGCCAACGCATGCGCAGAATTGTCATTATGCAAGATGTCTTTGGTATGAACTTATCGATCTGTCCGCGCCTAATTATCAATTAGTATAGGATGGTATTACCTAGCTTGCGACATCGGTCTGTGGTGGAATATGGACCGGGACGATGGGGCGCCACCATCTAGGATTGTCATTAGGAAAATGGCCGTCAAGCTACCTTTAAATCAAGATGAATGTGTGTTTTAGAAATAGAACAGAACTCATCGTAAGGAAACATTACCTTACCTCTAATGACTCTTTTCGTATCCACTCTGAGCTATGAGTGTGTTGACATTGAGGAACTTTTTTGTCTAAAGTTTGATTCCATAATGGACAAACCCAGTACATACTATTACTGACACACGTTTACTGAACAATCGAGTTTGCGTTTGTTTCAAATAGGGAAAGGAATGGATTTTTTTGGGAAAGAAAACAACATTTGCCTATTTCATCCTAAGGTCTTTGAATGGCAGTTATACCATTTTCAGACTAACAGTGTGTAGGAGGGAAGCTGCTACTATGTTGTTGATCTTCAGAAATGACAAGTCAATCTATAACGTTGACCGGAAGTTAACCGTTCAGTAACGATATTTAGTAAGAAAAGGTACAATATTCTGCCCTTAGTGTCATTAGGATTTTACTTCGCCTATAGTTGAGCGTTCATGTACAAGCATTCTTTCCTTTTAACAATTGTAGGGTGAACGTTAAAGCCTTAACGGTTAAAAAATCTGGAGATCATCTGTTTGTGACCAAAATATCCAATACATAGTATATTATGGTTGAACTAAGAAATCTGATACCCATCTCATCCATTTTGTTTTCGATTGTTTTTATTATACATCACATTGTTGAATCTAGTCCCCTTTCCAACCATATTGGTATCTGTGGCATGCAGTGATCTCATTTCAAGGGTGATTTATGTAAATTTGAATTATTGTGCGTCAGTTATGAAATACGACTCGATCTTAATCCTCATGCTAATATGGTATACCATGATTTACATGTATATTTACCATACAGGTACATCTGTCTATATATTTACATGTATATTTACCATACAGGTACATCTGTCTATATATTTACATTTATGTAAGTCAGGACAACTGATACGACAATTTAACGTTTCACTCCTGGTGGTGACCTTCACTGATTTGTTGGTGTCTATTCCCCTTTCCGTTGATATGTTATAACCGTATCCTTGTAATGGCCCCTAAAGACGATCCCGTTATAGTATAGTATTACAGACATAAGAGAATCAACACTTAAGTTACCTCGTACCAAGAATGCCAAGGATGTGAACCGGGGTGTGTCTTAACGTTATAATGCCCCACAAGAGAGATTAAAACAGCTTCAACATGTCATGCTTTCTAACACAAAGTGTCTCTTGGTAGCAAGGAAGAAAGTTTACATGTCATTCAGGCTGTTCTGTAACAGAACGAAATTTGAGTAAGTATATACGCACTTCAAATGTATTTAAGGTACTTTTATAAAACAATACTGTTCTTTCTGTGTAAATGAAAACCAAAATTAAAAGTTTCAGCTCACAATAGGGAAAGTGCTGTTTTTCATTCATTCTTTAATTCCTCTTTAAAGAGATGCAAAAAATAGGGGAGAAAAATAGATATTTAGCACAGTCACTGGTTTCGGTTAAAGATTCATCGCGTACGCGATCGCGTCACGATGTACGTTTTACATCCTGTCGTCTGTTGATAGGTAATTATGTGACGCAGCTCTCAAGAACCGAGCTGCCATCATCCGAAACAGTTTGTCGTCCTCTATGTCCGGGTGTTAACGTCCAAATAAAATTTGTACGAGTTCTTCTTCTGTTATATTAACCATAGTCAGGAATGTTTCTATGCCACATACATCTAGTAATTCCGTTGTGAAAATGTCTCTTGTTGAGTGAGTGACGTCACACTGAGTTACGTAATGGTGAATAAGGTCAGTCCGAGTTTTCCCACATTTATTACAATTTTGTTGTTCGGTTTGCGGGCTTTGTACTCAATTTTGACATAAATTGAACAGATGCTAAGTCTGCTGTAGTTTCTGGTAGGGTCCATAGTATATGCGGATATATTTGAGTATGGACGAGTCTGAAACGGTCAAGCTGGCGGTCGTTATTCATTCTTTCACGCCACAGTCTAGTTTCTACCCTTCTGATGGCGTGATTTATACAAAATGCCCATGGTAAAAATACTTTCTTGGCAAGCGTTTCATTTGGGAGTTTGATAAGTCTGTGAAGGAACTGTAGTTTCCGTCGATCTATTTCAGCGGTCATACGAAAAAGACCAATCATACTCTCCGCTATGTCCGAGCGATTGCGTGTTGGAAAGTTTGATTTTTTGTTTGCCGCAAGATGTTGATAACGAGAGAGTTTATCAATGTCACCTTGTCTCATCGTACTCCATGTTTCGCATCCATAGAGGATAGACGGTAGTATTAAGTAATGTTGAAGGCAAATTTCCACCGAGTCGAAAAAGTTTGACAAATATCAAGGAGTTGCGGAAGAGATATCATCGGCGAGGGTAGGGTTTCCACAGTGTAATGCATATTGCGGTGCGCCAAAGTTCGATTCGGAGAGAGCAATAAGGAGGTCGTCAATGAATATGAGGTAGTATAATGTAGATAATATCCGTCCTTGTCTCAATCCGCGTCGCATTTCAACCCAACGAGAACGGGTCCCATTGCATAGTATTGAGCTTTTGAGGCCTGTGTATGTATTCTGAATAATGGTAAGTATGTTCCCATTAATTCCTTTCATTCGAAAGTTTCTGTGTGAGACCTTCATGCAACACAGTATCAAAGGCTTTCTTTATGTCTAGGAAGGCGGCGAAGACCTTGCTGTGTTTTTCGATGTGAGCATTGAGCATTTCCTGTAGTATAAATGATGCTGTTTGGCATCCAACAAAACGCTGAAACCCTCGTTGCTGTTCATTAGGGAACGTTGGAGAGTTTTACCCTAGCGAATCTTTTAGTCGCTTGTGTATAATACTTCCATTAAGTTTGTACATAGCTGGTAGATGCGAAATATGCCGATAGTTATCTTGGTCTGATCTTGGTTTTTGTTTCCTTTGTATATCGGTATTGTAATAACTTTTCTCCAGATTTCCGGGATTGTAGTACTATTCGTTATGAGCTTAAAGAGTTTCGTGAGGTAAGTAATGAGAGTTCGTCCACCATATTTGAAATGTTCGTTGGTCAGTCCGTCGATTCCCGGCGCCTTACGTGAGTTGCTTTCTGGATGGCTTCCACGACCTCGTCAAGCAAAATATCACAGTATAATTCTTTGCACGATTCATTATCCGGTTCTTTGTTAGTTGTTCTGCGATTACCTTCTTCTGATAAGTCGGACGGAGGGAGGTTATACAGTTTTTCGAAATAGCTTCCAAACTGATTTGCGATGTTTTCTGGGTCGCGATAAGTCACGTTATCAATTCGTAGTTCATTGTAAAGGTTTGGTTGTCGCTTTTTGTGCCGTCTAATCAGTTTCCAAAATAGACGTACGTCGCAGTCGGCTGCTTCGTCCAATTCCCTTTTCAACTTCGTTTCATAATCTGTAAACGCTTTATCGTGGATTAATTTGAAGTTTCTTTAACAGTTTTATAGTCACGGTAAGTATCATTTTGAGTACCTTTTGGTCTTCCTGCATATATCTGTAATTTTCTTCTTGTTCGAGTCATTTTGTGTAAGTCTCTGACTTCTTTGGTCCAGTATGGTTTTAACACGCGGCTATATTCCGAATGTGGAATACATAATCTAGAAGAGCTATGTAAAATAAACTTTATATTTTCACACATAGTTTCAATCTGTTCTCTGTCCTTAAGTTGACTTAAGCCGGGTAAGTTTTTAATTTCAGAATCAATGGCTAATTGGTACGCGACGAGGTTGTCTATTGTCGCCTTCGTCCATAGAGGATTTACCTGCTTCTGTTTCAGCGTGTTATACCGCGCAATCTTTAGCTGAAATTGGGCAATAAGTGGAAAATGATCAGAAGCTATTTCTGTACATGTACCTCCTGTTGAGAACACAATGCAAGATGACGCGCAATCTAAAAGCGTATCCTGTATAAGAACGTAGTCTAGGGTTTGTTGCGTAGAGACGAAAGTGTGATCATGTCCGGCACATTTCTCGGTTTTATTTAAGGCAATCAAGGAGAAGTCAGATAAAACAAATATGAAAGATTTCTGATTTCCGTTTCGTGTGAGCACCAGCGGTCTCGGTCGTTTCGAATCTCGCATTAAAATCACCTGTGATTATTGCACTGCCAAGTCCACTCAATTCAATATACATATCTGCTAAGTGTTCCATTTCTTCCAGATAATCAGAAATGTTGTTATCACTTGGCATGAACGCACCGAATATATACACACGTTCTTGTTCCTCTGTAAAAAGTTCAACCCCAATCAATCTGTTACTTACAGATATTTCAAGATTACGTATTCGAAAGAAAATATTTTTCCGTGCTAGTATCGCTACTCTCCCACTGTTGTTGGCATTAAGTCCTTTATTCGAGAACGCAAAATAATCGCTTTGCAGATTATCTAAATAATGTGCAGAGTGCTCATTGAGTTGATGCTCCGCTATGTCACTATGTAGGATGTCTATAACATTACAAAGACAAAAGGCGGACGACATTAATCCTCGGACATTCCAGGTAAGTATAGAAACACTCATGGTAAGTATCATAGCGACGTATGAAGGTTTGGTATGCGCTAATGGGTGTCTACCTTGCATATTTGGATTATTTATATTCATTGTGGTGAGAACCTGATTATTAAGCGTCCAATTGTTTCTCTTCTAGCTTTAATTTACCCTCCAGTCATGTTTGCTGAGACAACGACGGCATCGAATTTTACCATTCCAAATCCCATGTGACTCAATTTTCTCCGTGTCCTCCAAAATGACGTTTATTTTCGCAGATTGTTTATTTCCGCGGTAGTCAAACATCCCTAA